GAGAGAGAGAGAGAGAGAGAGAGAGAGAGAGAGAGAGAGAGAGAGAGAAACTGTTAGGCTGGGGAATTGGTTCTGTGTAAAATGCTTGCTGCAGAAGCTGAGTTTAGATCTCCAGCACCTACATAAAAAAAGCAAGATGTAGCAGAGTGTGGTGGTACATGCCTTTAATCCCAGAACTTGGCAGAAGCAGGTGAATCTCTAAGATGGAGGCTAACCTGGTCTACATAGTGAGTTCCAGGCCAGCTGGAGCTACTAGGGAGAACCTGTCTTCAAAACAAACAACAAAAACTGTAGAGGCAAGTATCTGTAACCCCCCAGTGCTGCCTGGGGGCAGAGGGTGGGGGGTGTCTCAGAGACAGGTGGTTCCCAGGGGCTTGGGAGAAGTCATAAAATGGAACATTTTAGGGTACTGACATAAGTGATAACCATATAGATACACATTTTTCAAAAAAGTGAACCATACAATTAAAACGAGTGTGTGTGTGTGTGCGCGCGCGCGCACACGCAGGCGTTATTAGCAAAAACAATGAGTCTTTCTGTAAGAAACAGTATATTTTTAAATGAAATGGAGATCTTTTTTAAAGGTTAAAAACTCATTCAATTTTATGTCTTACAGGGTTTATACTGAGTTCAATATTGTATAACTGTATTTATTCAACAGTGAACCTAAAAATTTTATAGCCACTTTTGAAAGAGATGTATCTCTGCTCTGGAAACTATTATGTTAAAGCTGTAATGAAATATTTCTTCTAAAAATACTTAAAAATATTTATGTACATGCATAAATGCACATGTACATGTTTATACTGATACATACATATTTGCATGTATATATGCATACATATATATACACACTTGTATACACACATATGCAGTGGCAAAGGTAGTCCAGCTTACCTGAGGCTCAGCTTTTGAGACAGAAGCCATCATCAAATCAAAGGTAAAAATTTCAGAACCTGATGGTAAACAAAGAAACTATAATGACAGTAACTCTACTCAATCTCTCTACATACAATCTCCCCTCGGCCCACACCTTGGCCCATGGTGCCCTGTCCCTCCTGCAACCCAGGCCTGGCAGTTCTCCATCTTGCCAGCCTCTCTTCCTCACTTCAGGCCCAACGCGGCTTCCTCCCATCCTCCCATCCTCCCATCCTCCCTCCCCACCTTCTGACCCACAACAACTTCACACACACACACACACACCCCTCTGCCTCCCTCTCTCCTCAGGACCATTTGCATCCAAGTCTTGCTTCCCATCAGGCCCAACCCCGCCCCCACGTCCTCACGTGGCTTCACACCCCTCCCTCTCCCCCCTGCCCCCCCCCCCCCCCTCCCTCACGACCTTTGGCACCTAAGTATTGCTTCCCATCAGGCCTAACCCCGCCCCCACGTCCGCACGTGGCCTCACACCCACCCCTCTGCCTCCCTCTCTCCTCAGTTCTATTTGCATCCAAGTCTTGCTTCCCATCAGGCCTAACCCCGCCCCCACGTCCGCACGTGGCCTCACACCCACCCCTCTGCCTCCCTCTCTCCTCAGTTCTATTTGCATCCAAGTCTTGCTTCCCATCAGGCCTAACCCCGCCCCCACGTCCGCACGTGGCCTCACACCCACCCCTCTGCCTCCCTCTCTCCTCAGTTCTATTTGCATCCAAGTCTTGCTTCCCATCAGGCCTAACCCCGCCCCCACGTCCGCACGTGGCCTCACACCCACCCCTCTGCCTCCCTCTCTCCTCAGTTCTATTTGCATCCAAGTCTTGCTTCCCATCAGGCCTAACCCCGCCCCCACGTCCGCACGTGGCTTCACACCCCTCCCTCTCCCCACTGCCCCCACCCTCCGCCTCCCTCAGTCGTCTTAGTCGTGCTTCCCACGTCCTGCTTCCCATCAGATCCACCCTCACCTCCCTATGTGGCTTCTGGCCCACAGCGCCCTCCTACCCTGCCCCCTCCTCAGGACCGTTGGCGTCGCGTTCTGCTCCCCCATCCGACCCCAAACACGGCCTCTTCTGGCACACAAAGTCTTCTGGCCACCTCAGGCCCACAGCACCCTCCCACCTCCAGGCGATGGTGTCTTCTGCTGGCGGTGTCCTCTCCCACAGCAACTTCTAACCCACCTCAGGCCCACCATGTCCTCTTCCCTTCTGCTCCTTCACGTCCATCCTCTGCCCACTCCCTCCGGCCCACAGACCTCTGCTCGCATCCTCAGGCCCACAGAAATCTACCTGCTCCTGGTTGGGCCCACAGACCTCTCTGCCCGCTCCCTCAGGCCCACAGACCTGGGCCGGCCCCCTCGGGCCCACAGCGCCCTCTGCACTCTCCCTGGGGTTCACAGCACCCAGTCTCTACAGGACCAAGCCGACCTTCGGAATGGTTGGGGACAGCACCGCTCCTAGGACCATTTCAAGTTTTCAAATCTCTTCACACCCACTTACCAACACCTCCAAACTGCCCTGATGGCTCTTCCACAAATGAGTGCGCCTCACCAAACGACCGTTATAAGTAATGATGGCTGGCCGGAAATACGTCATAAACCAACAGACCAATCGCTTGTAATTCTCTCTAGGATTCTTGGAGGACCACTGTAATTCTCGATAGGAATCTTGGAGGACCCCACATCTCAGTAGTGCCTTCCTTCCAGTTCTTGAGACAAGCCTAGGACTAGGAAATACTGTAGAGGGAGGATTATGCGGTTCTTTCCAGACCCATGCTCTCTGGTGGCCTCACCAAACAATATTGTCTTCCTACTTGCTTCTGAGGCCCGTCCTTCAAGGCCTAGAAGAGGAATAGGGTGCGGCAGACCTGAATGTAGCTGGTTTTATTAAGATGGTATAATAGTGTTTTCTAGGACAGCTTTGAGGGACTGGCTTGCCCAGGACATAGGTACCCTGGAAACTGATGAATGAATGAAAATCAAAAGAATAGATTTTATTTGTATTGTATTGTATTGTATTGTATTTTTGTATTGCATTGTATTGTATTTAAGACTCTTAGTGTCAAAACATTGTGCTTTTCTGTTTGGATTAGGAGGACCAAAAATGAGGGAAGGATGTACTTGAACATACACCTTTTTAAAGTCTAATTTAGGCTGTCTTCCTAGGTAAGGACTCACGTGTCCACTAGGAGTTCTCACTGCTCTTGCTCCTGAAGCCACTATGAAATCTCAAATCGGACTCAAGGTTTTCATCTTTTTGTCTCACACTAATGTTCAACTTTTCTTTGTTAGGTTAGAGATGGGGAGACAAGAGAAGGGACAAGCAGCTCAACAGCAGCATAGGTTCTATTTAGAAGAAGCACCTAGAAGTGGGAGTCACCAGTAAGAACTGGAGCCCTTGACCCACTGACAGACCAGTGTAATAATAGGTCTGGGTGAGAGGAAATGTAAGTGGGGTGTAGAGGTGAAAAAACTCAACTCGGCCATTGCTAGGGCTGCTAGGGAAGTTGAACTTGCATGGGACCACTGTTTCCCAAACAGGATGTTTTTGCTGGCAGGTGATCTTGGCGGGGGAGGGCGGTCATGACATTTGCTAAGGTGGTAGGTAAAGGACAAGATGGTACTATAACTAAAGCTAATGTTTCTGTATTTTGTAAAGAGATGGGGGAGCAGTGGACCAGACTTTAGGCATAGTTTTTACAAGGCTAATTCAGGCTGAATTGGTCAGTCTTTGGTATTAGAAATTTTGGAGGGGGAAGATGCTGTTAAACTGTCTTTTGCTGATGTCCTGGATAAAGGTCAGTCTCTAACAATGTGTTAGGCAATTAAAAAAAAAAAAACACAGGACCAGGGGATTGCAGAAATACCTCAGCGGTTAAGATTACTTGCTGCTCTTGCAGAGAACCCAAGTTCAGCATCCAAGTCAAGGTGGCTCACAATCACCTATAACTTCAGTTCTAGGGAATCCAGTGCCATCTTCTGGCCTCTGTGGACACTGCATGCACATAGTGCACTTACATACATGCAAGCAAAATATTCATACACATACAAATTGTAAAGATTTATTTTTGTTTATGTATTATGTCTGTGTATACACATGGGTGTGGGAATGCCCACAAAGGCCATAAAAGAGCATCAGATACCCTGGAACTGAAGTTACAGGTGGATGTGAGTGCTGGGAAACTAATGTGGGGCCTCTGCAGAGCAGCAAATGCTTTTGGCTGTTGAGCGGATGACTCTCCTGCCCCAAAATACATAAATCTTAAAAAAAAAAAAAAAAAAGACAGGAGCCAAAGGTTACTAACAGGAGGATAGAGGGAGGTGCCCCAGGACTGGAGGCAGCCAGGGCAGCCATCATCCCAGGTTGAACCCTTGTCCCCAAGAGTTGGAGTGCTGGCAGTGTTCAGATGCTTAATCTTGGAGTTTTCTTGCTGTGTCTCAGACTACTCTGAAATGGTTTGCATAGAAGTAGTATTCTTTCTGGAAAAGAGACATATGCCCCCTTTCTTCGTAGCAAGGAGGTCCAGAACTCCCTGCTTTTGAAGAAGGATACCTGAGGGAATCTTTTTTGTTTTCTAGGATTGTGATGATGGCAGCTGGTTTTGTCTACAGTATCTGAAACAGCCTTGGAAAGTTGTTGGACATAGAGTGTTTGGGAGAAGATGCCAGTTCTCCCTGTGTTGACAGTAGAAGAGATACCTAGGTCCACAGGAAGGAAAATAAGTAGGAATTTCTCTTAAGGCAAGATTTTAAGGCTGATGGGGGTATTGAGGCAAAAGGGGGACAATTACTGTGTGATTATTAGGGAGAAATTCAATGTCCAAGTATTGGAAAACAAGGGTAAAAACACCAGACCAATTGACTGGGAGACAGATAAAAGTTGATGTTCCACAGAAGGTAAAAAAAAAAAAAAGATAGGTTGAGACAGGAGTATAAAAAGGTAAGATGTGAAAAAATTGTCTGAGGACATTCCTGTACAGTGAACTCATTTTTGCAGGCTAAATATTCTCCAGATAGGACAGCCCCAGCAAGGGCCTGGTAGAAAAACTGTGGGTAGGAGTCCTTGTGTCCCTGAAGTTTAACCTTAATGTATGCCATGCCCACAGACATAGTAGTGAGGTAGATTGAGTTGATTCAAATAAACTAAGGTCATAGCAGGTATCAGAGGGAGAGAGAGGGAAAGCAATGCATTCAGGGAGTGACTAGGAAAGTATGACAGTATTTGGTGTCTTTGGGGCAGGGGTTGTAAGGTTTTGAGAGGGTTTACAGAGTGTGGGAGTGCCCCAAAGGCAGAGGGGTATTTTTTCATTGCCTGTTTAAATGGATGGGTGGTGGGAAAAACTAGGTTTAGGTGATTAGCAGAGTGTGATAGATGAAGGGTGTAGATGCAGAAAGGAGAGATTGTTCACAAGGGTGGCATAGGCTGGACCTTGGCATAAGCAGCGAGGTAAAGAATGTCTGAGAGTGGCTCCCACAAGGGATGTTGAGCAGATTAGAAGAAAGTCATTATTAGAACTTCTAAAATAATTGCAGTGGTTACTTTTTTCTTTATCTTCAAATAGGTTCTGATTGCAATTAATTCATGTGTCATGGAACATGAACAAAACCCAAGGTTGGGATAAATTTGAGTGGACTGGTCTACAATGCATTAAACACCATGGCTATCTTATAAAAGTGAACATTAGGGATTATTCTTATCAATTGTGGGGGGAGGGGGGATGAAAACTGCTGTGTTGTAATCTTGGTATCCTCTATAAAAAAACAGAGGTGGAAAAATCCAAATTAGTCTTGTGCAATGAAGCACTATTCAGTGAAAATTTTGGTGGCAGCATTTCCATATTGATGATTTCATCCTGAAACACCCTTCTCCCAAGTTTGCCCACACTCAAAAGTTTACTTACACAAATAATAGGATAGTCTTAGGGCTGGAGAGATAGCTCAGCAGCTAAGAGTGCTGACTGCTCTTGCAGAGGACTGGGGTTTGATTCCCAGCACCCATGTGATAGCTAGCAACCATCCATGATTCCAGTTCCAGGGGAAGCTGATGCCCTGTTCTGACCTCCATGAGCATTGCACAACCCAGGTGCACTTATATACATTCAGGCAGTGAATCCA